CTAAGAGTTCCGTAATATTTTAGAGTTTAAAGAAGCTCAATTGAGGTATGTTGGCTAACCTCCTTTCTTAGAATTAAATTCCACGGTGTTCATGTAAGTTATGTAAGACCCGAGTTGATCATTATGAAATTGGCTATTCCGAGTAAACTTGAGTTGAAAGATATATGTTCAATATGTGTTCCAAATATTTTTATCATGCTATGTTATCATTTGAGGATATGTTCAAAGTATGGGTTGTGTGTTATAAAAGTTACGACTTTAAGTCAAGTTTGAATGAAGGTTATTATGCCAAATTATGTGAAAAATCTCTATATGTCTAAAAATCTTAATTGCTCACATGTTTACTTAATGTCTTTAATTGAAAAGCCTTGTTGTTTACAATGATGATGATGTTTGAAAGTGAATAAGGTGAGCACAAAATATGAAATACGACCAAGTGCCAAGAATGATACTATAATTGTGCCACTAGTGCCAATGAATTGAAAAGATGTGAACTGAGGATGAAGTGAGATGACTGATAAAAAAGGTAATGTCTGGGGTGAGACGGCCTAGCCGATCAGGCCGTGATTGGATGCCATGCCTCACACATGGTGGTGATTGTGTTGAAAATTGTAAATGAAATGGTGATTGTGGTTGATGTCTCAAATGAGTCAGCCTAGTCGATCGGGACGTGATTGGACTCCATGTAAAAGTACGTTGGTATTGTGAATGATGGTATATTGGTACTAAAGATCTCCCAATCTAAAAACACGAAAATTTACTTGAAAACTTATGTGGTTCTTAACTTGATGTTTTGGTATTTTTTGAGGCTTCTATTGATTTCATGATTGTTCCTCCTTGTATTGTTATTAATTCTATTGAGATGGTGTTTAGTTATACATACTAGTACTATTCCATGGTACTAACGTCCCTTTTGTTAAGGGCGCTGCATCTTTTATAGATGCAGGTGGTTCCACAACAAGCAACATTGATCAGTGATAGCAGTACATCCTCTTCCCAGTAGACTTAGTGAGCCCCACTTCATTCCGGTGTCATGTATCTTTTGTTTATTATAGAATATTTCGAAAATCATAAACCTCAAATTCATTAGTAATGGAAACTTTAAACACAAACAAGTTTAATTTCAAAAGAACGGGGCACACCGACCAGCAATAGAAACACACATCAAAATCATAAACAAACAATACACTATTTATTCTTGAAATACTCTTTCCCAAAAACGACAATGTACAATTTCAACACCTGAGTATGTAATAACTCGAATCACGTTAGATATATTTATAAAGCAAAGCATTAGTTAAAACAACCACTTATGGGAATGAATTGAGTCCAAAAGCTTTTAGGCAATTCTATTTTTGAAGTCATTTTAAAACAGTCGAGTCGAGGCTCATTTCATAATCTTTCTCACACTCGCTCTTTCATTGGCACCACTATCTACAATTATAACTTACATCTTGGCACGTTGGCCACTATAATGACCCGGCCGGTCATTTTGAGAATTTAAGCTCCATTTGGCAGTGTAAGGTATTGAATAGCTTCATATTATGTTCGACTTGCGTGCATGGTTGAATTCAGTTATCGGATGATTCAGAGTCGAATTGGAAGAAGGAATCTAGTTTGAAAGCTTAAGCGGTGAGAATTTGACCGGAATGTGACTTTTGTGTAAACGGCTCCGGAATTAGTTTTGGATGATGTCAGCATCTTTGTATGGTGATTTTGGACTCAGGCGCGCATCCGGATTTGGATTTGGAGGTCCGTAGAGTAATTTGAGGCAAATCTGCGGAAGTTAGAAAAATTGAAGTTTGGAAAATGGAGAAGTTTGACACATAGTTGACTTTTGTGATATCGGGGTCGGAATGCAATTCCGAGAGTTGGAGCAGCTCCGTCATGTGATTTTGGACTTGTCTGCAAAATTTAGCATCATTTCGAGTTGATTTGATTGGTTTCGGCACGAGTTTTCGAAGTTGGAAGATTGGGAAGTTCATAGTTCGATTCATGGTGCGATTTTCCATTTTGCATTGTTTGATATGATTTGAGACCCCGAGTGAGTCCATGTTAGGTTATAGAACTTGTTTGTATGCTTAGACGGGGTCCCAGTGGTGTCGGGTGTGTTTCGGGTGGGCTACGGCTAATCATGAAGCCTATCAAATATCTATAATGGAAAGTCTATCACTCTACGCAAGTGTAGTCTCAAGTCATAATGAGAAATAAAGGAAATAAACGAGCAAAGATAACCCCTATAGTACAAGTATAACATGATGTGAACCTAAGTCTACCTGGACAATTACACAAATCTTGCTACGTACGGACTCTCGTCACCTCGTGCATCTGTAACCCCCGCAATAAGTAACACATATCAAATACATCACCTAGGGGTAGTTTCCCCCTCACAGAGTTAGACATGAGACTTATTTCGCTACGGAGTTCCATAACCGGCTCCAAAGCCTCTCTAACACCTCAAACCGGTGCCCGTCGCTTCAAAACTAGTCAAACAGTGTACAAATCCATAAATATATACTCTAAATACTCATAATAAATCAATTTAGAATAATTTTCAAATCCGCTCGAAAAGTTGATAAAGTCACCCTCGGGCCCACGTGCCCGTTTCGAAAAACTTCGAAGATAATCATTATCTATAATACTATGAACTCAAGTATATAATTTATTCTCAATTCCATGTCCAATTTCGTGGTCAAAATCTAAAAATATCAAATTTTAGGTTTTCTACCAAAATCTCAAATTCCTACTAATTTTCATGTTTAAACTTATATATAAACCATGTACTTAACTTGTAATAGGTGGAATCACTTAACTTGTGTTGCTTGATGAAAATCTCCCCTTGAAAATGGGAGAAAATGGGCCAAATCCTGTTTTTATAAAAATCTCACTGCCCAGCGACATCTCGCACCTGTAGTCACTCGACCGCTTCTGCGGTTCTGCAGGTGCGACCAAAATACCGCTTCTGCGGTCCTCCTTCAGGCCCCAGTAGCGCTTCTGCAGCTCCTAGTGAGCAGGTGCGGTCCCGCTTCTGCGAAACTTGACCGCATCTGTTGTCCCAGCCTTCCCAACAATTCCACTTTTGCGCTCAGGACACCGCATCTGCGCCATCGCAGATGCGAAAATGGTCTTGCACCTGCGCCACTGCCCAGCTCGCCCAGAACCGCTTCTGCGACCCTCTTGGCCTCTTCTGCGGCCAAAATCTCGCAGGTGTTGTTACACCAGATGACAGTTGCTTCAGCATTCCCCCAAGTCCAAACTCGATCCGTTTACCATCCAGAATCTACCCAAGGCCCTCGGGACCTTAACCAATTATACCAACGCGTTCCAAAACACATGATGAACTTATTCGAGGCCTCAAATCATGCCAAATAACATCGAAAGTACGAATCGACCATCGAAATCCTTCTTTAACTTTTCAAACTTCGACGAACACGTCCAATCATATCAAAACATTCCGGAATGACGCCAAACTTTGCGCACAAGTCATAAATCACAATACAAATATATTCCAAGGGTCGGAATACCAAACAGACATCGATAACACCAAGGTCTACCTCAAACCAAACTTAAGAAATTATTAAACCTTCAAAATGCCAACTTTCCCTAATAAGCGCCGAATTGCTCCCAGGCGCTAGAGCTCAAAACGACTGGTCGGTTCGTTATACTTGTTATTTTTTTCGTATTAGGTAGCAAAATAACAAGGATGTTCATAAGAAATTCACATATATCCTAAGAAATTACAATAACGCATATGTAAGACAATTTTTATTTATTTATTGAACTAGCTAAATTGGATCAATATTTATATTTCTTAGGAGCTCAAATCTTTTTCATTAATTTTTATTCAATAACTCAAATAAATTATTTAATATAGTTACCTATTTTTAAAAAAAATTGTATACTCATGGTATAGGTACACGCGTAAAGCGCATACTCTAAGACTAGTAAATCAAAAAGTACTTATAAGCTAGTTTGATCTAACTTATAATCTTACTCAATCACCTTCTTTATTAAAAAATTAAAAAATTAAAATTAGGCTCCCAACTGAACAATAGGTTGAAATTCTTTAGCTAATTGTAATTTATATTTCTTTTGGGCGTCCTCCCTAGATTTTACCACAAATCCAAATGAATCACGGTAAGTATTGCCCATTATCAAATAATAAATCTTGCCGACCGGCAAGATTTTACTCTTACGGATCACCATAAATCTTGCCCTTTCAGGATTTCGGAGGTGGAGTTTATTTTCTCAAAATTTTAACGGTTTTACCGAAAAATCCTGTTTATAATCACCCTATTTTTCTTTCTTACCATGAATCGGTACGTTGATAATTCTGAAAGGTAAGATAGGAATTCTTTGATCACCACTAAAGTATCTGGTGCAGTGGACGAGATTGCTCTTCTCTTAACTAGAGGGCTTTCCTGCGAATGGGGCCCTATACGACGCGAATCCGGATATAGTCGGGCTCCAATGCAGGTACCAAACACCGGGTGAAAAATAAAAAAAAAAGGAATTCTTTGATCCTTCCGAAATGGAAAATAGTAAACGGGCTCCAGTTCACGGACATGGAATGTGGCATCCTGTCTTTCCTAAATGGCCCAAATAACTATCAAACTCAAATGGCAATGGGCTCGACCAGGGGTGGCAAACGGACAAGTCAAGTTAGATATGAGCGAATAAAAAAGGGAATTTTTAAATGGGTAATTTTAAAAAAAGGATAAATTATCCGACCTGATCTGTATTTGAGACGAATAAAAAATGAATTATCCGGCAGATAATATGGATACCCATATTATCCATGACTTCTTGAAAATGATCATTCGTGAAGGAATTCCTAATTTTCCAAACTTAAAGAACCATACTTTAAGGCTTTATAAATGTAAAAATTAAATACATTAGTTATATTATTGATTTGGTTAATCATTTTTTATAAGTGAATAATATAATTTTTATTCCTATTTAAATGGTTATATTTCCCCATTGAAACAGAAACCCTAGAAATGCTAGCACTTCGCAAGCTCTCCTCAAGCTCAAAATCATCTAGCTTTCTCTGTTCCTTCGCTATCCAAAGCTCAATCTGCAGCTCCGCCACGATACCCGACTTTCCCAGTTGCACTTACTACGACGCGCTCATCAACGAGGCTGGCCGGCAAGGAGATTTCGCCACTCTCCACCACCTCCTCAACAAGCGCGTGAGCGATGGCTTCTTCAACACCAACAATACCTTCAAGTTCGTTTCTACAACTAACCTCTCCATACTCGACGATCTATTGGATACGATAGCTCGCTTAGACAATGGTTACCCAAAAAAGTGCTCCTACGACTGTCTCATCGCGCGTCTCTCGAAGATGCACTGCATTTCGGAGGCCACGCGTGTTGCCGAAACCATGGTGAGTAAAAGGCACGGAGTGAACGATGTCACGTTTCATCCCATAATCAACGCGCTCACGAAGAAGGAGGAATTCCACGAAGCGTGGCGCGTGATGGACGTGATGAGATCTAACGGTATCGCACCCGATTTAACGGCGTATAATTTTCTGCTGACCGGTTATTGTTTCACAGGAGATGTGGTATCGGCTGCCGTAGTTCTAGCGAAGATGGAGGAGGAAGAGCTGGGGGCAGATACGAGGACGTACGACGCACTGGTTTTAGGCACGTGTAGAGTTGGGAAATTGGATGCGGCTTTGGCAGTGTTGAGGAGGATGGTAGATGATGGAGTTTCGCCATTGTATTGCACACACGCCCACATTATCGGCGCGTTGCTGAAGTACCAGTTTTCTGAACAAGCAGCGGAGTTTGTTAGAAGCTATGCAGGGAGAGACGTGAAATTGGATTCGGAGAATTTTGGAATACTGGCAACCAGGTTGATCACTAGAGGTAAATTCGAGGAAGCTAAGGAACTGGTGAAAGAGATGACTGAAAGGAGATTGGCATTGGGTCCTAGATTGAAGGATTTCTATGAATTGTATGTTAGATCATGAGATATTGAGATAATTATTACTAAGTATGAATGCAGCATTGTTGAAATATATAGACTTGGTTTTGTTGTGTTGTTAGCAAAGAAAAAAAATTCTTGAAGTATTCATTATATGATGTATACGGATTATGATTTTGATCCATCGATCCATCATAATGGAACGTTGATTTGATACAATTAGTTGTAAAGATAAATAAAAGAGCTGAAATATTATGCTGTGCAGTTACGCTTTTCATCTAGATTCTAATGCTAGATTGATTTGTTCAAGTTTTAGATCTTTTTGGAACGGGCCATGTTGCTTTCAAGGTTTAAAGATCAATGTGGTTACGAACACATCCAGATGATTAAGGAGATAAAATTAATCAATTGATCCATGAAGAACATGGTTGGTGTTAAACAATAATATATCTTTTCCTTCATGTTTTCTTCAAGGAACAATACTGTTTATAAAAAAAGTACCTCAAGGGAATGCTAAAAGCATATAATGGCGTACATGGATTGCTTTGGCTAGTTCGATTGAGAAGATAAATGGGAAGATCAGTGAGAATATCTTGAGAACTTGAAGCAGCAGCAGCTAATAGAGTTGGTAAAGGGCAGTATCTACTCAAAGGATATTTTGGATGGTCTATCATAAGTTGAAAGATTGAAACGTCCATCCACACACCCTGCTCTTACCGGTAAGCCGTAAGCCAACTTAAACTCGTGCCCTCACAAGTTAGTTATATCCATTTTACTCTGCAGCAATGGTTTTGAACCAACCTGTCATTTATCTTTCAATGTCAACATGATCAATTTATCATATTTGAAGAATAAAGCATCAAATACCCTTTAGACATCTTTGGAAGTGTGTTGAGGTTTCCTTATGAAATTATCCCCTTCTGGTGTTCCTTAAGCCCTTTAAAGTTGCAGTTAAAAATGCTAGATATCGGTTATTGGCCGTGTATAATGCCTTACCCAGTCTATTTGCTCCACATTATTCCAGAAACTGTCGATCGGACAAGTTGGCTGGCTAGCAGGCAAGTTTAGGGTTTTATATTCCTTGTTGTTAATTCAATGTGATATCTGATTTCTATAGGGTTGATTCGTCCTTGCATTAGTTTGGGTTTGTTTCCCCATGAGTCCACTGAAGTACAAGGTGGTAAAAAAAGCTGTACAAATTATCAATTTAAGGCTGGAACCTTGGCAGTCTTCTAAGTTTTCAGCATGTTAGATGTTTCTGGAGATACTAACTCAGTCTACAAAATTGTTCAACTTGTAAGTCTCCGTAGGTAGTACATGTTTCCCTGGAAAGCAAAACTGAAGATCTGGCATGGTCCTCAAAGCTGATGCTAGGTATGTGTGATTCAGCTTGACCAGCTTGTAGGCATTTTACTCACTAAATTTTACTAATTCAAATTAGATGGTTGAAATGAGAGACCTTTGAATGCTTCATCAAAATAATGAGATATCTGTGAGTGAATGCTGGGCCGGATGTTAAGACCAGCTGAAAATAAAGGAGATGTTGGTACTATGATGGATATGTGGTCTTAGAGGATGACCAAATTAGAATATGGAACGTGGAGGGTAAAATTAGAGGTCCCTGTGGATATTTTGATCATCTCCTACCAGGGATGGCAATGGGGCGGGGCGGGTGCGGGTTTTGTCTTAACCCACAAAATTTCAACCCGCCCCGCATAGTATTTGCACCCGCATTCACTCGCCCCGCCCCTCACC